TAACTACACTAAATGAGGATATTGAAATAAAAAATAAGGGTTTACTATTGCCTAAGCGATAAAAAAACACATTAAAAAAATTTAATACATTTATTCGTTTATGCATAGTCAAATTTAAAAGTTAGAAAGTTTTGCTGTTCTTGCAAGTTTATTCAATTAATTATTACATTTACCAACAATTATTATTAGTGTCAGTTATTTTTAATCAAATATAATTATAAATCTTTCTCAAATTCTAAATTGCATCCTAGATGGTTGATTTATCTTGGAACAGATTAGTTTCTTAGCTTTTAGCGCTATTCTTGGATTCTCATGCGCCACTTCTCCTTATCCTTTGTTCATATTTTCGACGTCTGGAGGACTTTAAAATCAATTGTTTCGCATTCTTATTTAGCTTACGATATTTTAGATTGCCTATACCAGTGGAGTCCATCTTTTCTTGCTATTTTTTCTACTTCTATTCCCTTAATTCAACAGACTATTCCATTTAGAGGTTCTTTGACCTTGTTTTCGCAATTTGGTCATATTGGTAGGAAGACTTAGAGGAACACACCTAGTCCGGAGTCCATTGTATGCATGATCGTTTCCAAAGTCGGACCGTGGACGTGGTACATTCCCAAACGTTTCGCCGGCCTCGTCTGTAAGTCTTGTAATTATTAGTACCACACTATAACTCGTATAAGAAACAAGTGAAGCCGATCTTTTAACCAATTGTCTGAAAAATAATCGTGGACAATTGATCAAGGGATCGGCTTCACTAGTCTCTTTAACGAGTTGTGGTGTTGGTGTTACGAATGGCGATACTCACTGACGATGCCGGCAAAACGTCTGGGAATGTACCACGTCCACGGTCTGACTCTGGAAATTATCATGCATATAATGGACTCCGGAGTATGTGTGTTCCCCTAAGTCTTCCTACCAATATGATCAAGTAGCGAAAGCAAAGCAAGTTCTCAAATAGTACAGTAGAGCGTAATGCAAAAAATATCATATGAATATTTCGAAAAGACCACGAAAGCAAATCGTCGGACCGTGGACGTGGTACATTCCCATTCCATTTATTTCTCTCTCAGAATAGCCTTTATGGATATTAAAGAATATTTTCCGTTTTTTTGTCTTGGCAAAATATCTGAGATATGAAGACCAAAATGTTGTGGCCTTTTTTTTATTGTAGTCTCCTTTGGCTGTATGAAAATGGTCTGACCTCTTTTTTCGCACTTTGATCGTGTTATCAGAGGGACCTATTTGAACGCACATTGTCCTAAGTCATCTGCTATAGCAGTTATTATAATTCCCAGCGTCAAACCGTAGACTTGGTAGATTCTTACATTTTTCACCGGCATCCTAGTCGTAATCTTGAGTGAATATTTCCACTCTTATTGCCAAGTTACTACCCGTCAGAGACAGGTAAAGAAAGACTGGATTTCGAAAAATTCAAGAATCCTGCCCAAATGTCGCAGGAGCTTGGACTTAATATAAATAAACTTAAATAAATGAGTCCTCTACATATTGCAAGTTTCTCCTAACTTTTAAATTGAACTATGATGAAAAAACTCGTTGGGTCTCTCAGAATGATAATCCTCTTATCATGACTGCTATGGCAGATGACTTCGGACAAAGTTCGTCCAACTAGTTAACCCTGGCAATACAACCAAAATGCCAAAACGAATTAAAAATAGCTTGGGTTCAAGTATTTAGGCGAGGATTTATTCTTTAATACTCTTAAAGTCATTTTAATCTGATCGTCCTATGACATAGCGGACGTTTGTATAAAAAATAAATGTTAACCTTATGCAAGGGAATTTATGCGATTTTAAGATGTATGTAACTTAACATCTTGGAATTCATTTCTTTGTGAATTTACTCTATTTCATTTCTGCTTATTAATTTATCATCTCATTATATACGGTTTAGACTCCACTAGGCAATCTGGCCTTTTGTTCAAGTCAGTCTGTCCTCCGCCTGATTCTTCACACACATCAGACCCAGCTTCGTTCTTGCCACTTATCGAGGACGACGCGGCAGTACTATCCGCAGACTTGCGCCCCAAAGGCTTGAAACACTCTACCAGTCGACTCGCTCATCTTTGGTCCTGCTCTAAGCCATCTAATATCTGCTTACTACCTCAGTCCTCCGCCTCTTTGCTGTCTTTCTCGAAGCCTCTATTTAGCCCATCAGCATCAGAAAAGGATTTAGTAGAACTTCCTCAGGATTTAACAAATGGAAGGAATTTTGACTCTTCTGCTTTGATGAGCATAGTTAGCACACCCAAAGCTCCTATTTCGCTTGTTCTTTCAGGGCTCGCAAGCCCTCTATCGTTTGGCCATCGTATTACTTCGAACTCCTCGTCGCAGCGAAAGATTGACCCCACTTTTAACTCGACTAGGCCTAGGGTCTGGGAGAGTCCTATACATGCCTATGATAGTTGGCCATACTGGCATGAAAACTCAATGAATTCGTCATCGACCGAGACAACTCCCATTTCAGTTAGTCCTGCTTTCGAGGTACAGAGAGAGAAGGATGCAGAAGCGAAAACAGTTGTCGGCCCCATTGAATTATCTGGAGTCTACGATTCGACCATTGGCCCTCCATCTCACTTTAATAATCGATGTATCAGGCAATTCTCCGAGTTTCCTGGAGAATCCAAAATTGAAGCTCAGGTTCAGGACTTTGAATTAATTTCAGACTGCCTGGCAGAAAGTGCTACCGATGAATCCTTGAACTGGGGTAAGATAAATAGATGTTCTGCTTTCTTCTTTCTGATAATCATCTAAAAAAAATTTTATTATATGTGCCAGATATAACTTTGATATTTACTTTTGACACGTATCTTTATTTCAAGTTCTAGTTATTTGAAGAATTATACAATTATGCGCTCCATTTGTTCTATATATGCCTTAATTTCTGCAATATACGGAGTATCCATATTCAGATGGTTCATTGCTATCCTTTATAAGAGCATGTTTAATTAAATTATTTAATTTTTCAAGACTAGCTTCTTATTCTACTTTTACACATAAATTGTAGAGTTCCTTTTAAATCTATTTGAACAGATATAGGCGCTTTATCCCATAGAACACAACTTTTTGCTCGTTATTTGTCGGATGAGCTACGGATGGAAATACCTGAGTCAGATGTATCGGATCCTGCCGATTGCTGGCCTGAGACTGAGTTTAATGAGGCTCTTGTTGGTCTTTGCGATGACCCATTATCAGACAAGCACTTTTGCAGCATTTCTGGACCAGACATATCAAGCGAGCCTCTCACTTGTATGCCTGACCATCGGAGCAGGTAATCAACTTACTCATATCTTTATTGTTTAGCTTGAAATTATTCTGTTATCTTTCTTATAGACAGGATTTTTATTTTAATCACATATCTACTTTTTAATCTCTATCTTCTAAGCCCAAGACTGTGATTAGTCATTCAATCAACTTAGACGTTTCCTTATTATGTATTCTAATAACTTAACTTCGCATGCCCAAAGCCTCGTTTACTGATGAAGTGTTCATACGGACTATAATTCTAGCGTCTTTTTACCAGGTTTCAGAGAGTATCAAGCATAAGTTCTACTATTTTCATCTCAATTAGATAAAAAGCCTTTAGGCTGCATTTCTCTATTCAAGTGCTCTTTTATCAAGTGCTGGTATTCTCTTGGATTAAATTTGGTTAGATAGATATTTAATAGATATTAGATTGATACTATAATGGACATGTAGATATATATTTATTACTTAACGAATATGCCAACTATGCTCATCTTATATGCTGAAAGAGCAGCTGGCAGAATCTAGGATGACTTAAGTTAAATTTCAAAGATCTGACAGTTTATATATATATATATTATTTCAACATAAGGTAATATAGAAGTTATTTGACCTTGTTTTCGCAACTTGTGCCTCGGGCGGCACAGATGAGGTGATTGGAGGATATAGGAAAAGTGAATAGGCCAGGGCAGATGAGATACCATAACTGTTTAGCACACGTTTGGTCAAAGGATCGGCTTCACTTGTCTCTTTGACGAGTTGTAACATGGTGCTACGAATGGTAAAACTCACTGACGATGCCGACTACGATGCCGGCGAAACTTATGGGAATGTACCACGTCCACGGTCCGACTTTGGAAATAATTATGCATACAATGGACTCAGGACAAGGGGCGTTCCTCTAAGTCTTCCTACATATATGACCAAGTTGCGAAAACAAGGTCAAAACAACTTCTATACAACAAAAGGAGACTGTGACCACAAAAAAGGCCACACCATCTTGGTCTTGGTTGACTATAAAAGTACATATAAGTTTGCTTCATCAGCAATCACAATATTGACGGGATTTAGAAAAGGTCTGGCTTGCCTCGAAAATCACATCTGCTCTGCATTCGTGGCTGTGTGCTGAGGTAAAGATATGATGATACTTTATGCGTATGACCCAGTTTATAATCCCATTTATGAGCTGATTGGACCTATGAGAGCTTCCTGGGTGAATAAGCCTTTCTGGTGGCAAGGCTAAGTGAAATTTAATTTAATCATGATGCCTACTCATTTTATTGGTTTAAATTAAACTGTAAGTTCACTTTAAGTGTCCTAGGTGTACCGAATGGAAACGTTTGCTCTACTCATACCATTGTGGGAAAATTCTACTACCAGTCCTTCACCTTAAATAAAATTGTGTAAATACATCTCATATTATTATGGAATAGTTAGAGACAAGGAGCCCAG